AACTCCCAGAATTCCCCAGTTGAAGTCCACTCATCTTAAAGTGGCCAAGTTTGGACAACACTGACCTATGGTTTTCCCATGGCTCTTTCATGGGGGAAGAAGATCCCATGGGGTAGGATGAGAAGATGTTTCATGAGGTGGGACACCATGACTCCGTGGGTATTGACCACCGTAAAACTGCCTCTCTGTTTTTGACTGTTTGATGGTTACCATCATATCCTATAAGGATGAATCCCATAATTTAAGTAAAATTTGCATTAAAAAGGATTTGTCCAATAGTAAAGAATATAAGGAGCTCAGGGTTGAATTGTTGGGTTCTTGGTGTTCTCCAAGTTTGATTGTTTCCCTGCAAACATTTTATTACCAGGCTAGGTAACGCCATCAGTGGAGTTTACTGGTTCTTTGTACATAGTAGCTTGCCCTGTCAGTCTTGGTTGGGGCGTGAATTGAATGTTTTACCCCCAAACAAGTAGAGAAATTGAAATCTGTTCAGGGAACAGAAGGAGGAGGAGCTAACTATTTATAAGGCAAAAGAGAACCATAAAGTTCTGCACACCCCAGTTTAAAAAGGACTTTGATAAACTGGAGTGAACCCAGAGAAGGGCCACCAAGATGGCGGCAGGACTGGAAATGAAGCCTTACAAAGAACAGCTGAAAGACCTAGTCGTGTTTAGCTTGCAGAAGAGAAGGTGGAGAGGGGATATGATACCACTCTTCAATATCCGAAGGACAGTCTTGTTGTAGAGCAGGGTTCCTCAGGCTTAGCAACTTTAAGATGGGTGGACTTCCACTCCCAGAATTCTGGCTGGCTGGGGAATTCTGGGAGTTGAAGTCTACCCATCTTAAAGTTGCCGAGGTTGAGGAACCCTGTTGTAGAGAACTTATTCTCACTTTCTCCAGATGTAGATACAGATTAAACGTTAGGAAGAACTTCCTAACAGGAAGAGCTGACAATCTGGAATGGATTACAGCATGAAGTGGTTTCTTCCCCTTCACCGGAGGTTTCAAGATGGAGGCTGGAGAGTCATCTTTCGGGGATGATGTAGTGAATCCTGCAGTGGGCAGGGGTTGGACTTGATGACTTCTTAGGTCCAACGTAAGATGGGGGTATGAGTCACCTGATGAACGTTTAGAAACACTAACACCTAGATACATTTTTCCTGTCCTTGCAGTGGCCTTCCATTGCCAACAGTGCACAGCACAGTCCTAATACATTCCAGTGGAGGGTCTGGAAGCTCCAGTGAATCTGAGAGTAGCTCTGAATCTGATTCGGATAGTGAAACCAGCTCCAGTGACAGTGAATGCAACGAAGAATCCCGCAGCGGAACCCCAGAGGTAAAGCTTCACAACTTCCGTCTCCAGAATGTCTAGTTCAGAATTGTGTTTGCAGGTGAAAATTCCAACCTCTTCTCAAATAAAAAATGTCCAGGCTTTTGGAGCAAAAGTGGAATCGGTTTAAAGTTGCTTACTGACCCATTTCCCGAATAGCTTGGGATATGGCTCTTCACACATAGACACACATATAGACAGCCATTTCTTTAACTACATCTATGTAGGTTTGGGAGGAGTTGGGGGTTTATATTCAACCTTTGACAGGCTGCCTTCCAAACGTATGTGGCAACCGGACAAAAACTCAGTTAGGCTAATTTTAAATGTAATAAAAATGAAACCAATTTAAACATAAGGATAAAGACAGCTCCCCGTGTATTTAGCAATTCTCCCCTTCTTTCAGATTAAGCATTCCAGTTGTGTAGTAGAGTTTGCAGAGATTCTGGTAGCCCCATTCACATGATCTGCACCCTTCTCCTTGGAAAATACAGAATGCCCAAATATTTTAATTTAAAAGCTGGCATCCTTATGAGCCTTCGGTCTTCAATGAAAGGAACACAGACAGATGCACAGTTCTTCACTTGGGGGAGGTTGGGATATAGCTGGTTGGAAATATCCTGAGATTGTAATTGATGGTGGGCTGAATAAAAGTGTGCATTTTTAGTCTACCTTAATAGAAGAATGGTTTCCAAATCCCAGGAAGTAATTGTTAAATTGGTTTAGTTTTTAACGTTTAGCTTTTCGTTTTTAGTTGTTTTTAGTTTTGGTTCTGCACAGTGTTTCCCAACTTTGGCAACTTCCAGCTATATGGACTTCAACTTCCAGAATTCTCGTCCACGGCCATCTTGGCTGTGGAATTCTGGGATTCGAAGTCCACACACCTGGAAACATGTGTGCCACTGCTGATTTGGAAAAGAAGGCCGCGTTGAACATGAGATCCATTTGGTGTCACTTTCTGAAATCTGTCCTTCTGCAGCCTGAACCCCCCTCAGCAAACAAATGGCAGCTGGATAAATGGTTAAATAAAGTCAATCCCCACAACAAGACGATCATCAACAACCAACATGACAGTCACGGGGAGAACAGTGCACAGTCCCAGAGCAGCACCCAGGTCGAAGGACAGAACAAAGGGAAGGTTAACAACAGCTTGTCCCTGACCGATTCCAAAGACAGGGCCCTGCGCAGCCCCACCCGAGAGAAGGCAAAACCCCGTGTGGCCCAGAAGACCCCAGCAGATGTGAAAAGTTCCAAGCAGAAGTCACCGGCGCACAATGAGACGGCCCCCCAAAGGACGACTGGGAAAAAGCAACCCAAAAAAGTCGAAAGAACGTCCAGCGCAGAAGACTACAACTGGCCAAGACCAAATATGACCAGCAGCACCCCCAAAGACAAGGAGGCGCAAGAGAGCCCAGAGCAGGCCAAGCTGCGGGCAAAGATCGCTGCTGGGAAGACCGCTCCGAGGAAGGAGCCTAGGACAACCACGGGCCCTGCTCTGGAGAAGAAAAAGTACAGGGGCCCCAGCAAAACCCTTCCCAAGTCACGGGAGTTTGTGGAAACAGATTCGTCCACTTCGGATTCAAACACCGACCATGAAGAAACCCTGCAGGCCAAGACCTTGCAGGGGGGGAGCGGCTTGGACAGTGGCATCAAAGCCAAGGACTCCAGCAGCAACCTTCTCAGCGTCAGCAGCTTAATGAGCAACCACAGCAACACCTCAGTGGACCAGAACGGGCCAGATTCAGAGGAACAACTTTTCTCTCCCCTCCCCATCGTTCAGAATGAACCCCTGTCCCCCTTGAAGGAGTTGGAAGAGCTCAAGTACCTTTGGGTGAAAATAGATCTGAGCTTCCTCTCTCGAGTCCCCGGGCAAGATCTGGACTTTGAGAGCCTCTCTGGAAAAGTGGAATCTCGAGAGGGCAGTGCCAGGCATAGGCGGCAGGCTCACGATTCCCCCCTGCCCCCTGCTGAAAAACCCTCTGCTAAAACCAAAAGGAAGCATAAAGTAAGTCCCTTATCCTCAGCTTTCCGTTATTCACTCCTTTGAATAGTTTGTTTGCAGGGTTTTGAAGAGCCGAAGGTCACACTAGATCTTTGAACAGCACGTGGGGTGCCTTGTTCCAACCAGCGAGCGAGGCCAGGGGAAACTAAGTTTGGCTGAATTTCAAGTCAAACTAAGTGCAATAAAGAGGATTCCTCTTGGTGTATTTAAACATTTTCCTTTACCATCACCTAAAAAAAAAAATAGTTGCATTTTTTGGAGGGATTCTTAACTCTGTACCCAAGGCTTTAGAGCTGCACCCAGCTCTTCAGTTTCTGAAAATCACAAGGAAAACTCACATGGAAGTCTCCACTTAAGCACTGAGTTTATTAAGTATCTTTGGGAGAGTCTTACTTCACAGGTTTGTTATAATAAGATGCGGAGAGCCCTGCAAGAAACACCGTAAAAAATTCCCCAAATTGTGCCACTGAAATTCCCAGAGGCCTCCCATCAGCACCCCCAAATAATTGAAGGTTTCTCCCATCTCTTCCAGTGAGGTCACCCCATCACCAAAAGACCTCCTACATCCCACCAATTAGTTGGGAGAGGAAGTTATGACTTCCATACCAGAGGACATTACTCACTCTCATTTTAGGACAACTTTTTCAGATGCACAGTATCACTGCAAAGTCTCTCGTGAAGATATGGCTGCCCAAAATAAGAATAAAACATCAGAACAAATTTTGTGAGATCACCTTACTTTGGCCAAATAGCCTGGGTGGGAAGTTGTTGGTGCCCCAAATTGGTGGATTTGTCCCCAGATAGCAGCAGCATAGTTGGGGTGCTCTCACTGCTGTAAATTGCCTGCTTCTGCCTGGATCTGAAAAGAGTCAAGAAGAATTTGCTGTATGATCAGGGACATTCATGGAGGTTGTCCACAATGTCAAAATGGCGGATGCAACCAGGCGAACAAAGCTCCATTCCTTCTTAACATGGATCACACACATTACATGTATGTTGAAAAGGGAGCAGCTTTGATCACACAGTCGTACCTAATGTGATTTAATGTGGTTGAACCACTCTGTGAACTTCCCCGACTATGGCTGTGGATTAATGGGGGTTTAGAAAGCTAGGTAGGGTCTATGATGGAGAAAGGATAACACAAAGACAAGTTATCTATATGCATCCTTCAACCAGAATTTCCTTCAAATGTTAGTCTCTGGGGGGAAAAAAAAATCTCAATCTACTTTTTCCCCATCCCATCGAATAAGCATGATTTTTAAAAGCAGAATAAATTTTTGGCACAGCATTTATTGGAGCAGAGTTTGGGATATCGCACAAGAGCTTTGCAGGAGAGGAAAAAGATGGGGTGATCAGATGCATCCCCTGGGTTTAATCTAATGCTACATTTGTCAGCTTCATTTTGTGTTGTTTCATTTTTACTGTTCGGAGCATTAAGACAAGATTTCTCTCAATTTTAAACAGGCATCCATCCATCAAAGTCAAAAGAACGCATGCTTTCGGTAACATTTGCTGAGTTTTGTCTTTATTGCACATTGGGAAAAAAATGTGGATTTTGTTACATAAACACCTGTGATTTATCAAAATGCCATTCACTTAAATAGCCATCTTTTTTATTTTTATTTTTTGATCCTTCCCCCCACCCCCCAAACTACCTGTAAAGTAGAATCTTTTCTGAATCAAGAGGCAATGCTTTTATTGTGTGTTTTATACTATTTATGTCCAGGGGTATACCGTTGTGTGGGATATGACTTCAAAGTGAAATGTGCTTTTTGGACAGGAGAGGGGGGAAGATATGTCAAAACTGAATATTTGCAGACTTTTTTTTTTTTTTAACCTACCTGAAAATTGCCGTCCAAAAAAGGCCTGTTTTTAGCATTGCCTGGAAGGAAAGAGTGTGAATCAGGACAAAAGCCTGTCCTTATCTCTTTGCTAAAGATGAAGTAGGACATTTCATGAGCAGCCAGCCCTGACAGGTTTTACAGAATTCAACTGGGGTGCTAAGAATATTAGCTGAATCAATCTGCGCAGCGTAGAGTGCCAAGTGGCACTCATTCTAATTTCATGCATATTTGGGTGATCCAGAGATAGAAGGACTGTGGCAAGAAAAACTGGGGGAGAGGGAAAGGAAAGGGTGGGGAAGGAGAAAGTGGGATAAAATAAAAGGCTGTCAAAAAGAGAGAGACTACAGAGATGGCATCAAGTGAGAGAAAATGACACAAAGAAAGAAGTGGGTGATTGAAAGCAAGAGGAGAAAAAAATCAGGGAAAGAGAGGAGATTGATTGATTGATTGATTGATGATTGATTGATTGATTGATTGATTATGTGCTGTCAAGTCAGTGTTGACTCTAGCAACCACATAGATAGATTTTCTCCAGGACAATCTGTCCCTAGCCTGCGCTTTCAGGTCTTCTAATGGTGAAAGAGAGAGACGGAGAGAAAAATAAAGGCGTATAAAAAGGGGGCAGCAACAGGGAGAGAAAGGGGGCATTTCCACTTTTGGCTCTAGTCCTACTGCCCCTCCACAAAAGGAAGATTTTTGACTCCCTCCTATTGTGGCCAACTGGGAAGCAGCAGAGATCAGTTGTCGGGAGGGGGCAGAGGGAGTTTTTCCATTTCAAACATGGCAGCTGTGGGTGGCCAGAGTTTTCCCAGTAAGCTTCTTGTTCTTTTATGGTTTAGCCACCAACTTATGCATAGTCTGTTGTACAGGTACTCCTGCATTATACTTAATGCAGGTACAGGGAGATCCATAGATGGTTCCTTGTGGACCCCAGGAAAAAGAGAAAGTAGAAACCAGGTTAAGAGCAACCCTCTAATAGGCTGCTCCATTCCAACCTGGCATGACTAAATCTAGACTCTCTGGACTTTCAGTCCCTTATGCTGAAGTTCATTTATTGAGCTGTAGGCTCTTGGACCACTCAATATAGATACATTATCCTTGTCTTCAGTTACACAAAGATCTGCCTGATGCAGTAGAGAACAATCACAGCTTTTGTATCAGCCTGTGCACCAAGATTTCAGTCCTGGTTTTTGTCTCCTGCCTTGTCGGATCAAAGGGTATTTGGCCATTCTCTTCAAGGCCACAGAAGGCAACTTAGATCTGTTGGTGGATGGTTCTCCTTAGCCTGGGAATTGTGGTTCCTGTTTTGCCAGCATCATTCCCAACTCATACTTTTTTCCAACTTAATTGATACTGTTTGGATGCTTTGGGTTGAAGCCCTGTTGCAATTACTTGGATTCATCCAAGGTGGAGGAACCTGTGGTTCTCAGTATGTAGCTGATTTTCAACTCCCAACTCAATACTGTATGGTGAGAAATGCCTAGAATTTAGTGTCACAACATTTGGAGGGCCCAGGTTCTGTTCCTGCAACACAATCAATGGGGGTGCAGTGGGAACATGAGAAATGAGTCAGCTATAACTTAATCAACTCACTCCAATGGGGTTAGATTTAGTCCCAGATAGCTCCAATCTTGCCTAGGGCTTGCCAAGTTCCAGCCAACCAGCCATGTCACAGGAACTCCAAAACCTTCTCAACTGTCCCATTTTATCTATCTAGTCCCCCAAGAAAGAGATCTGGAGAGAAACCTGTCTAGAAAAGCAATCTTCTCCATTACAGGACTCATTGCCCATGCTTCTGTGACAGCATAGAGCACAAACTCTGATTGCAATGGCCAGACCAGGCCATTTTTTCTCTGCCTGGCCAGTGGGGAAGAAGCAATGACATCATGAAGCCTTGCCAACACTCTCCTGTTGCAGGGACTCATGGCTACCAGACACTACCTGAAGAAAGTGGGTGGGTACATTCCCCAAGTGATTTTTCTCCCAGTTAGTAGGATCATGTGTTGCTAGAACCACCAGTAAGGTGATTTGACTGGGGTAGTGACTGATTGGGTTTGCCAGAACCCTTTGATTTCATCAGTTGTTGGAAAAGTAATGTGATGAGAAGCATAACATTCTGGTTTTTATCGTTCTGGTTGAAGCAGTCCGAAAACGTGGACACATTTGGCGAAAACAAGAAACAACGTTTGGAGGAGTCTTCTGCTTCATGCTTGCTTCCACCTTGCATCTCTCCAATACCCAACCACAGAATAACCGGCACAAAAGAGTATGTTTTTTCTACATTTTCAGAATATCTTTCCCAACTGTTTAGAACACGTCATGGGGAAAATCCCACTATGAATTGTCCACGTTATAGTCCTTTGAGGAACTGTAGGCTCTGTTTTTGGCCACCGTTAATTTAAGTTCCTCTGATTTTGATGCAATGTAGTTTTTGTGCTTTACAGCATAGAGCAGCAAAAACAACCTTTTGGTGAGAATCTCGTACTTTTAATATATGGTATCCTAGGATTGCACAGGACACGGGAAGGGCAATAAGGTGGTGAGGGCCTCAGAGCAGTTAAGGCCAAAGTATTTAGCACGTTTTGGGGAGAATCCTTTCTACAGAGATTGGATTTTTTTTAAAAAAATAGACATGTTTAAAAAGTGGAGGCTTCTCTAAAAGTTTGGAAAATGTATTTGAAAAAAAATCCCACTGCCAATTTTCATGGTTTTCTGACTGAATTTCTGGAGTTGCAGAATTCATCAGCATGTCTGTAAGAGTCTTCTGGATTGCAAAACAGGGATTCCAGTCCATTTGGGTTCATAAACCTTCAAACTGCCAACCATTGCCTTATAGATTGACCAGGAAAACATGCATAGGAGGTCAACGTGGAGAAATACTTGTCTTTCTGTTGGAAATGCTAAGGCAAGACCATGCATATTCCAGAAAACCATCCTGAAACTCTTATGGATTGTTTGATTGGCATATAATCCAATATATTTTATAAACTGAATAATTCAGCAACATAGTTTCAGTCCAGCTGTGCAGATATTGTAGAACTGGATATTAGTTACTGTTTTTAAAATTTTAATACGTTGTCTAGAATACCCTCACTAGGTCTAACAAAACCGTTCCAGGATTTTTAGCTTCAAAATCCCATGAAGTCGATAGGTCTCATTCCTGGTTATTATTTTATCCCTCTTATTTTCCATATTTTGTTCATCTAAGAAAGAATTATTACTGTTGGTGGCTACCGGCAATATACAGGAAGGACTAGCCTTACCCTCCACCTCCAGTTTTATTTCTTTCTGGTCTTTAAACTTGAATTCAAAGGATTTATTTTTGACTGATGTTTTTCAACAATGAAACTGCTTCTTCCACCGTATTGTCACACAGTGGTGAAATTTATGTTGAGTAAGTAATCCCGCAATTAACTTAAAACTCATAGCTTTTAAACCATTGTGAAATAAAACCAGCCAGTTTCTAATCTCTTTTATACCTGTGTAATTATTAACTCCACTTAATGCAAATGAATTTATCCCAATTTGCCTTCTTTAAATCCCCCCCCCCCATTTCTCAATTCCATGTGAAAATGGCGCTGATAACTTGGAGTAGAGTCCATTTAAGAATGATGCAGATGTAATCTTTCAGCTACATATGTTTATCGTTCTCCAACACTTACATCATCTTTTTTTTTAATCTTTTATTTCCTGCCTTTACCAAGCCCTAGAGATCTACCCCCCAACCTGATGTTTCTTAATTTGAGCTTGTTTTCTAGGTCATTAATTTGATTCCTTTGAGCCCTGCAACTATTGGTATCCTCTGTTAAAATATAATTGTGTTCATCAATAGTTATTTCCCCTATGTTAGCTCTACATTTCCCCTGATCCCAGATGTTTCCAGTTGCCAAGCAATTTTCCCCCTGATTTTCTTATTAGTTATGTTTAACTGAGACTAGGGTCATGATGCAGTTTGCTCTGAATATCCTCCAAGTTCATATTCCACCCAAACATTTAGATAACTTTTGTAATATCACTAGCCCTGCCCATGTTCTTATGGTCCCAATCTTCAAGAAGGATCAGCAGGAAGTCCTCTCTATGAGTTAATGCTTCGGCTCACAGCTGCCCAGAAATACCAGTTCTGCCACTGGGGGCTAAAGCCCAATCTCAGGACTCCTACCTTTTTTTGATCCAAACTTTGCATGTTTGTGACCGATCATGTTTCTACCACCATTCAACATTCCCCTTCCTTGCTAACTAATCTGCCTTTTGTGATCTTGAGTGCATATTCTAAGGACTGGATTAACAGGAATGGTAAGAACATTCCAGTTCTGACCCCACTGCTTGTGACTTGCTAACAGCCACAATTAGATACTAACTGCCATAGATGCTGCTTTCATTAGAACCGGTGGAGCGCTGCAGGGCACAGCCAGGTGAGGCCATACTGAATATCCCCCAGTTGAGAAGTCGTTGCTTTGCTTTGCTTGTTTCTCTCTGATTTGTTGCTTTGAGGTATTGTAAATCTATAAAAGCCTGACACAGACTTAAATTGACTAAGAGGGAGACATCAATTCTTGTTGACTTAATTTGCTATTGAAAATTTGAGTCAATAATCATGAAAAGTAAATGGCAGGAGAATGCAATATGAGTTGTCTAAGGAAGGATTAAAATCCAAGTAATCTTCATTGACTGGACTAGGACAGTAACTAAAATAATAATTTAAAAAATCCATGGTCAGATTAACATGTTAAGGAGTCAGCTGGATCTATCTGACTTGACTTTTCTTTTTTTCTTTCTTTTTCTTGACAGCCATGATTTAAATGGTAGGATTTTTTCCCCCTGGGGAAGGAGGTATATGTTTGCTAAACATCTGCCTCAGCTGTTACTTCGCCAAAGGCATCTCTCTAAGAGCATTTTTGGTGTATCACCTCCAGCTGTTTTCTTCCCAGCATCATTCTTCTTACATGTGTTCCTCCTACACAGGTTGGATGAGGTAGCCACTAGGATGGGAAGACTTTAAAGCAGAGATGGGCACTCCACTTTTTCCAGGCCAGAGGTGGCATTTGGGGGACTCAGGTTGTTGGGACTTACACTCCAAAAATGATGAGACATTCTAGGTCAAAGTCTACATTTCAGTGGATTATAATTGCATTTGTGTTCAGGTCAGATGAAACATGGTTAACAGGCCAACTTCCCAATCACGTAGTCAATAGAGATTGGAAATTTCAGACCCAAGACTTTCAAGAGCGACCCTGGGAGTAACCCAGATAACCTTGGCTGCTAACCCAAGGAGCTAATGAGTAACCATGGGAGTAATGCCTTCCTTAGAAGTATGATTTTCAGCACCTTCTGGAAAGTAGAAGCCAAGGGAACTTCAGCATATGCCATAAGAAAGGGACATCTGAGGAAGACTGCCTACTGATCTATGCTCCTTGTATCTCTTGGGAGCAGAGCCTTCAGCTGGTCCTTTCTAAATATCCATACAGGACAGGTAGATATATAAGGGATATGGCAAACCCTAATTTCTTTTCGTTGATGTTGAAACAGCCCAGTTTATATCTAGGTGTGGGTACCAATAATCTTTAAACATTCTTCACCAAATTTGTGGGAAGGAAGGTTGAGTGGACGACTTCTGTGCATTTCTCCAGAGGGAGGAGAAATTATCCAACATTCTCTCAAGAGCAGAACTTCTCCATAGCAATGACTGTAGGAGCAGTACTGAAAACGTCCCTCCTGATGTCTTCCCTTGGAACTGAATGAAAGCCAGGGAAGCTGTAGAGCACTGGTGAGACAATTGTACAGGTCAACGCAGGACATTCACTTGCTCCCCTTGTCCATTGCATACATCTAACATGCCACACTTCAATCATGAGATTTTTATAGATCTTTGGAAGAATTTCTGCACCATATTCTGTTTCATCAAGCTAGTCAGAAAAAGAAAATGCAGGAGAACATATCCATCCTTCACTAGTTATAATCTCTGGTCCTTCTTTGTTCTTTGACAGAAGCAACTCCATTAAAAAAGTGACCAAAAAAAGGGAAGAAAAGCTCTTTCCACCTCCACTTTCTCCTCTGCTTGACGAGACAGCACCCCGGCATAACATCATTGACAGCAGCTCCTTCAGCCAAGAGAATTCCCTACCAAACCCCTTGCAGACCAACACCTGCTCCAAACACAGGAAGAATGAGAACAAATCTTCTGCCATCTCCAAGGTAATCAGTGTAAGTCGCCCAAACAATTCTTCTGTGAGAAGCTTCTGAAGGCCTACAGGGTATTTCCCACAGCACACTAGACTAGGCTCAAATGAGATTGAGTAATTGAGGCTCAGCAAGTCCTGAGAAACTCAGCCATTGTCTTAGCATGTATGAACCAGGCCATCCCCTAAACTCAGGATATCACATCTATGAGTACAATGGGGTGCTTCAAGGGTAGCCTCAGAAAGATGTTTATAGGGCAATCTGGCTAGCTGGACCATGAATGGCTGTGCTGCTACTGCAAAAAGAGAAACGTGGGAGGAGAGGATACAAATGTCCCATCCTCCCCAGCTTCAAATGCCCATCTTCATGGGTCACCTTGCTCCAAGATGGGCATCCACCATAGCTAGACCTCTGTTGCTGCTGCCACATTTTTCCCAGGAGTCCATTTTAAAAAGCACGACTTCATGATCAGGAAGGAGAGCCACCAGCACCACCAGTGAGTTCATCCTCCTGCCCCAGTTGTGCACCTCAACCTTCTGTTCCTGCACCTGGAATTGGGAGCTTCAGCTCAGTTCCACTCATGATCTGCCATCTGCTTGGCAGTCTTCTGCTCTGCAGCTGGGGGCAGCTAACAAAGTGAGGCTGGTGATGAGGGAGAACCAGGATCCTTACCCCTTTGCCACCCATCACTCTCCTTGAAGTTTTCTACCCCACCTATTCTGGGCCTTTGTCACCTTGATCATGTAAAATTCAAGAGAAGCTGCATAGAATTGATCTTTAATCTGTGATTTAACATCTATGATTTTAAAAGGGCAGGGAATTCAGACATTATTTTTCCAGTGGCAGCCCCTCTGCTCTTCCCGGGCACCGGGCCTAATCATTGGATACTGTGAATTTTTGCTTGCTGTTCGCCTCCTAACATTTTAATTTTACCAAGCAAGCAATGCTACAAGGCACCCATGCTGACATTACACCTTGGGAGAAGTGGGTGTTAATGATGCTGGGCACGTGAGCAATATGTAGCTGATTACACTTAATTAATCTGCTGAGCTTGACTTAGCGACACACAGCCCAAGCAATGAAAAACAGGGGCCTGGATTTTAATTTCAAGGCACGCGCGCTTGCATTATGTGACGTGTAAAGGTATTCTTAGCGTGAAAGCTGAGGTCGCTAATTAAAACTGTTTTCTGCAGGAGGAAGACGCCCACAGCAGGTCTTCAAATACTCTGCTGGAATCTAGCCACTTAGACAACGATCTTTGGTTGACAGCTCCTACCTTCACCAATGGGAATCCTGAATTGAGAAGACCTAAGATAACATTTGATGATATGTTAGTTACCTAATAGCGTGGTTCTTAAGTTCATTGGTTTCACTTGGCTTTGACACACTTTGGTTTCAGAATGTTCTTTTGGTACACTGCCCAGAGCAACTTGGATTGGGTTGGGCTGCATTGGGTTTTGGGCCCTTGAACCAGTTGTGACTCCTAGCAACTCTATGGACAGATTCTTGCAGTTCTCTAGGCAACATTTTCAAAAGTGGTTTGTCCTTGCCTTCTTCCTAGAGCTGAGAGAGACTAGCCCAGCATCACTCAGTTGGCTTTTGTCATTAAGACAGGACGAGAACTTGGGTGTTCCCGGTCCTGGCCCAACACTTTTCCCACTAGAGATGCTGTAAAGTCCAGGCCAGGCCGGACCAAAAGCACATAGCCATTTAAAGTTTAGTCTTCGAAATTATCCACGTCCTATAATTGTCTAATCTGATGTTACAAAGGAAAATAGCTGGAGGAACTGTTGGCAATGGCTATAAATTGTACAAATAAAGAAATAAGTTTGTAGGGAAGAAAACTTCCTGTGCATATATATATATATCAGTAGTATTGTGTAATGAACTCAAACCATTGTGTATTTAACTTGAATTTTGCTTCAAGAGGCTCTGTTCTTAACCATGGGTCATCCATAAACCAGGCATTCTTAACCTGGGGACTACCTGTATTTAGCGGAAGTGTTTTGAAGTCAGTTTCTTCCCGGATGTTGTTTTGACTTCCCAATCTGGACTACAGCACTAAGATTCCCAAGTGGTCTCATCCCCAAATATTTTCCAGAGCCTACCCTGTTTAGCTTCTGAGATGAGTCAAGGTGTGTGGGTTCACAAGAATGGAAAAGGAGAGTGCCATGTATATTTACATGAGCTCTTTAGAAGATGGGCAGGATAAATAAACTGAATAAATCAATTAATTAATAATAAACAAATATTTTTTTAAAAATGTTATCCTGAGCTAAGATTAAGGCAAGCCTTGTAAGAATTAAGTCTAGATCAGGCCAATGTAGAAGCTGAAATCTATCAGCTGTGTCTTCTGATTGTTATTGTTGTGTCTTCCTAGGCTTCACAATGCTGATTACTATATGCAAGAAGCCAAAAAACTCAAGCATAAAGCAGATGCCCTGGTAAGTCTCCAAGTGTCCCTTTCACTCTCCCCAGTTGAGCTCCCAATTCAGAAAGAAATCATATGCCAGAGAGGATTGCAATGCAGTTGTGAGCCTGATTAATAATGCAATTAGATCCATGCCCCTCCCGACTTGTGAAAGCAGCCTAGGGGGTGTTGTGTGGGTGGGTTCTAGCAGTGGTGAATTCTTCTTTGAGTGAGGAAGTTGTTCCTTCACCTCCTAAGTCCTTCACCTTTGGTCTGCCCTCTCATCAAGAAGCCATAACTGGACCCCATGATACTGGACAAAAAGGCCTGGGGACCCCAGGGGACAGGCGATCTAGTGAGGTGGCTCCATTCTTTGTAACTTCTCTCCACTTACTTTTTTGTTTTAGTTTGGTTTTTTATATTTTTTTATACTTTTTAATGTATTTACGGATTGTTTTTTTTAACCTTGTGGTACACTGCCCAGGGTCTCTTGGAAAAAGCAAAATGGGCGGACAATAAATTGTGTAAATAAATAAAATTATGCTAGCGGTTCGTATGCAGCACAGCAGCGTTCATTAGCAGGAATGCCCACAAGGGGGCAGTAATGCAGAGCATCCTCTGGTGCACCTTGTGGCCAAGTGGCCACCATCAGAAAGTTCAAAGTTGCATTGAGCAAGAAACTAACCAACTTCATCGTTGAACGAAGCAGCCTTGAACAAGAGTCAAGAGATATAAGTGGCCTAGTGGGGTGAGCAAGGCCTATCCAAGCCACCAATAGTTTGCTCGCAAGCACTGAACAGAAGTCAGTGACTGGGGTCACATCTCATGTCTTAAGCTATGATTTGTTACCATGGTTTTTTACACAAGCTACATGATTTATGGCCTAACATGTTAAAGCCAGCCCATCATGTAGGTGTTTTAGACTTTCTTGATACATGTGTCAAACTGTAAAAGACTTCATAAGGTGACTCCCCCATTATTTATATGTATTTCCTTCTGTCATGCTAAAAATTATAATTTGGTAACCATTGTTTTGGAGGTCTGGGAGGACCACCTTAAGCTTTTGGGGAGCTTCTGGATGCTTTAAGATGTTCTCCGAATCATATGAATATTCAGATTTCCTATTCATGCAGCTTCCCCTGTTGGCCCCGAAGGGTGAGCACACAGGAACTAGAAACTGGAACACACACGAGTGCTCATATTTCTTGTTGAAATGAAATGTGATGCTCTTGACCAATGTTTCTCAACCTTGGGAACTTTAAGAAGTGTGGACTTCAACTCCCAGAATTCCCCAGCCA